TGGTATGAAGTTATTCATTGGAGTTTTATTGATTTGCCTGCCCTGTGCCTGCAGGGGATTGAACCCAGAGTCACAAATGCTAAACAGGTACTCTACTACACGCAGCAGAAGTTTTTCTTATAATTAAAAACAAAACAAAACCCTTATGTTTCTGCAGTTATTTCTCCACCACTTTTAGAGAAAAAAAAAGATATAGAAAGTTTCTATAATCTTTGGAGCAAACAAAAATTTCTTAAGCAGTACCCTAAATTGCTCAATGTAGTAATTCATAAATTGAATTACATTAAAATAAAGAACTTCTATTCATAAAACACCTTATTAAGGGAGTAAAGATAGTATTATATTGTGTGCACATATCAATATGTAATAATGAATCTCATCATTATGTACAACTGTCATGTACCAGTAAAAACTGGAAAAGAAAAAATAAGATTAAGAGGCAATTTATAAAGTTAAAAAGATATTCAGCATATATTATCTGACAAAGGATTTATATGCAGAATTTCTATAAATCAATAAAAATGAAAGATAAATAAAAAATAGCAAACAACATGAACTGATAACTTCACAAAAGAAGATATACAACATGGCCAATAAATGTACAAAAAGGTGCTCATCTTCATCAGGCATCAGAGAAATGTCAATTAAACCATGATGACATACCATTGCATACTCACCAGAATGGACAGAAGTAAAAAGGTGGAAAATGCCAAGGGTTGGTGAGGATGTGATCACACTTTTCATACATTGATGGAAATATAAATTGGCACAACCACTTTGGAAACTGTTTTGTGGTGTCTCTTAAGACTAAATGTATGCATACCCTTTGACACAGCAATTCTACTCCTGGCAATTCTATTCCCACTACATATTTCACTAAAACACACGTTCCAGATGTCTGAGCAGTACTATTCATAAAGGCCCCAAATTGAAAATCACTCAAATGCATATCAACAGTGGAATGATAAATTATGATAATGGTCTACAACAATGTGTAAAAATATGCATAAATCTTACATTATAATATCAACTAAAGTGACAGCTCATACTATGTGATTCTACATCTATAGAATAATCAAGAGAAACGAATGGAAGTCAGGACAGCAATACTCTTGTTGAATGAATAGTGACTGAAAAGTAAGAAGTTTCTGGAAGGATGGTACTATTCTGTTTCTTGGTCTGACTGTTGATTTCACATGTTTATTCAGTAGAGCTGGGACAAGGCATGGAAAGCAATATACTCAGAGAGCACAATTTAAGCTCACTCTTGGCACCTGAAAGCAACCTTAAAATGTGTCTCCTTAGGCCAGTAGAGCAGAGAAAGGAGACCAGGGAGAGGGAGAAGGGGAGGGAATGGGAGTTACTAGGGAATGGAAATGACCAAATTTTGTTATTTGCATGTATGAATATGTAACAACAAATCCCACTGTTATGTACAATTATAATGTGCCAATTAAAGATTTTTAGAAATTAGAAAAAAAGGTTCCCCTAAGCATCTTATTTGTCTTACCCTTCTACTAGACCTAGTATTCAGTTTGTGAATATTTATTGAAATATATTATTATGACATATATATTTTATGTATATAGATTATGCTTAAATTTAACAAATGTTAACGGGGTCTAGTCTACCTCAGACCATAAATGAAAACAAACTTTTAATGATCTAAATGTGATGTGGGCATAGTGGACAATACCTATCATCTCAGCTACTCAGAAGTCTGAGGCAGGAGGATAGTAAGTTTGAGGCCAGTCTGAGAACCTAGTTAGGAAAACAAAACAAAGAAAGGGCTGAGGATGCATCTCATTGGTAGAGTGTGCCTGGGTTCTATCTCCAGAACTGCAAAACAAGTAAACAAACACTTAAATGTGGGTATGGGATGTGGCTTAGTGTTAGGGTGGTTGCCTAGTATGTGCAAGGCTTTGGATTCAATTGCCAGTACTGGGGGGAAAAATAAAAGGAAGAAAGGAACAAAAATTAAAAACCTAAATGTGAAAAGAAAAATTTTAAAACTTTCAGGATAAAATACAGGAGATTGTTATTAATGCCTTCAGGTAGAAAAGGATTTCTTGAGATACCCATAAGCACATATTAAAGAAAAAGAATAAACTACATTAAAATTAAAAAACATTTCTTTATCAAAGACCTTTTAAAGATAAGTTAAAAGACAAGCACAAACCTGAAAAAAATATTAAAACACAAATAAGTAAAAGAAAAATTCAGAACACCTTTTAAAAGTCGATGAGGAAAAAATAAATAATAGAAAAATGTATGAACCAGGCATAGTGGTGAATGCCTGTAATCCCAGCAACTCAGTAGGATCACAAGTTCAAAGTCAGCTTCAGAAATTTGGCAAGGACTTACGAAACTTAGTGAGACTCTGCCTCAAAATAAAAAAATAAAAAAAAAAGACTGGGGGTGTACCCTGGGTTCAACCCCTGGTACAAAAAAAAAAAGAAAAAAAATGTATGAAAGACTTGAACAGCTACTTTCTATAGAAGATTGGACAATAAGAAGATTCTCAAACTCACTGATAACCTGGGAAATTAAAATTACAATAATGAGGTTGTACTCCTACCTCAGATCTAGCAAAATGTCAGAAGACGTAAACTCTGACAATATCAAGTGTTGGCAAGAACATAGGGATTCTCCTTCACTGTTGGTGGAATATAAATTGGTACAATCATTTTGGAAAATAGTTTTGTGTTACCTAATGAAGTTTAAAATGTGCAAGACTAGAACTCTCTGATATAATCCCTAGAAATATTCTTTCACATGTGTACCAGGAGATGTGTACATGAATGTTTCTAACAATTAAAAAGAAATAACTTCAACAAGAGTAGGATATTAGCTGGGCATGGTGGCACACACGTGTAGTCCTAACACTTAGGAAGCTGAGGCAAGAAGATCACCTAAGCCCAGGAGTTCGAGACCAGCCTGGGTAACAGAATAAGACCCCATCTCAAAAATGAAACAAAACAAATGAGTAGAATACATTACAACAGTATAAATAAAAGAAAAACCACACATAATGGATGAATCTCAGTTGTGATGGTCAAGCTAAGGACTAAAATCATAGAAAAATACTTGGAGTATTATTATTTCTACATAGAAATTTTAAAAGGGCCAAAATATTGGTAGATGATAAAACTAAAAAGACCAAAGGAAGGATTATAAAATAACTCAGGATGCATTTATCTTTAGAGATACGTGAAGTGCATTAATAAAGGGATACCTGGTGGCTTCTAGTGGTAAATTTCTACTTCTTGGCCTGTGTGGGTATACAGATGTTTTCATTATTCTTTAAATGGTACATATAACTTTTGTGTACTCTCTTTGATGAATTATGTTTCAAAATACAGTAATTTTTAAAAGCAATAAGGTTAAAGTTCTACATATGTACACATGCGTATAAACATTTGTATTTTCCATGAAGTAAAACCAAAGGAATCTTTAGTAGAAAAATGTCAGTAGCACTTCAGTATATTTGCATTCTCTCATATGATTGGCTGGTTGAGAGAGAGAGAAACTAATATCAAATATAAGTTTACCATGAAAGCCAGATCTTTGTACATATAGTTTCTGTTAAATATATACTTGGAAAATGTCATCACCTGCCTCATTTAATCTATTAATTAAAATATACTTTTCTAGGCTGTCTTATTTAAATCTTATTTGGCAAACAAGAAATTCTTAATTTTTTTAAGGATAAAAATCCAGTTGAAATCTGTTCATTCTTTTCTTAACCTTTATTTATTTTTCTTAGCCTTTCTATGTTAGCTATATCTTCCTTGAGTAGAATAAGAGAAGAAAACTGTACCAAAAATCTAAAGCCTTTTTCATGACTGACATTGTGAAGATACTAAAAATGAAAACAAAACAAAACAACCTTGTTGTTCGTTTGGTTGTATTATTTATATTAATTCAAGTAAGACTGGGACTTGTTTTCCATACAGTAAACATATATATCACTGAGTTAAAGATCTGGAAAGAACCTTCAGAAATTACCTAGTAGTCATCTTCTGTAAGTAGGACTCAGATTATCTCAGGCAAATAAGTTATATTCCTAATCTTAAAATGTCTCCTGAGAAGATTTTAAAAATGTGTTTGTCTCACAACCCTTTTAATACAATGTCAGCCTACAGTTAGCAGCCAGTAAACAGTAAGTCAACAGTATAGATTTACCTAGGGCACAGTGGGGCCCTAGCAGTACCCAACTCTAAAGTCTCTATGCAAAAGGCAAGGTAAGGGGCTCAGAGCCCTGCCTGTTCAGCTCCTTTGGCTGCAAACCCATCAGCTCCCTGGCTTTCCCCAGTGATCTAGACCCAAAGCTTGTCTCTCCACATAAACAAGTGCTGACATTTTGTTTTCACTCTGATTTGGGTTAATCCACAAACTTTCTTTCTTGGCTCCTTCCCACTTGATTATTCCAGAAAATCAAGAGCTGATTTGTACATGTATTTGATATGAATAGACACCTAAAATATTTGTAAGTCCTAAAAATATGTCACTTATGAAAATTAGAAATATATTGGGAAATATTTTTCTCCTAATCATGGGCAATAGGCAATTTCATCTAAAAACATATTTCTTTCTTGAGGCCCGTACTTTTTTTTTGGTACCAGAGATTAAACCTAGGGGTGCTTAACCACTGAGCCACATCCCCAGCACTTTTTTGTATTTTATTTAGAGATAGGGTCTGTCTCATTGAATTGCTTAGGACCTTGCTAAGATGCTGTGGCTGGCTTTGAACTTGTGATTCTCCTGCCTCAGCCTCCATAGCTGCTGGGATTACAGGTGTGAGTCATCTCACCTGTCCTGGCTAGGACTGTACTTTTTTAGACTAAAAAATCCTTGATGTCAAAACTAGTTTTGTTTCAGTTTTTATACCTGGCATGCTCCACTGGACTGTTGTTACTGTGATATGACCTGTATGCAAAGTGAAAAATGTCAGTTGTATTTAACTGAAGAAATGGAGGCTCACTAAAACTTGGCCTTACTTGATTGTTGTACTCCTCTTCTTCATCATCACAGTCTAGACCCTGATGGACAATTTCAGTAGTATTATTCTCCTGAAACAGATTGTTCTCCAAATCAGATAATCTGGCTGCCTCCGTAGTGACTTTTACTTTCATGCTATGAAAGCCTGTGGAGACCAATCCCACTTGCAGATTGACAGGTTCCCCATCAAACAGCAAGAAGTGTGAATTCACCCCTTCTTTAAAACCAGGTGGTTGGTAATCATGTGGAGTCACTGCAAAATGAAAAGGGCAAAAAGCCATGAAACTTTGTTTCAATAGAAGCCAGATTAATATTTTAAGTATAGCAACAGGTATCTTTCAGATGTTTGTAAAATCCTTCTATTAACATAAAATATTAGTTTAGTACTTAAGAAGAATTTAAATAAAGGTCTCCACCTACCTGAATTGTAGTAATGGAGTTTCATAGTAAGTATAACATCATTAGGAAGGGGTCCAAGGTTCTGCATCAGTATATATAATTTACGAATCAGTAGTACACTGGCCTTCTTGATATCTTTACTATTTGTTCCACTTTCAAAGCTTGTACTACTGCTATAATCACATAGAAAAAAGGTATACTTTTCAATCATATGCAATACTGACAATATATTCCCAAAAGAACACAACTTTTGAGTATATGATCAAATAAATATAAACATCTAGACATTTGGGAGAAAATTTTTAGATTATAAATTAAAGGAATAATTATACTCTTTCAATGCATATACAAAGGACTTCTAAAATAATATGTTCACCTAAAGCATTTAAAATATGACCTTATTTTAAAAAATCTGCTTATTACAAATAACCACATGTCATAATAATGAGAACACTGGATTTGGAATTAGGTATCCTGGCATCTAATATCATCTCTGCTGTTAACTAGCTGAATGTCTTCAGTCAAATCATTGAGATACACTTTATTGTTTATGTCATTTGTAAGATAAGCTTACAGACATTTCTATAACTCCCTAACCATAAAATCAGTTACTAGCTCTGTATCTACCATCTGGTTATCTCTCAAAGGCATCCCATCCTCACACTTGCAGGGATTACCCCAATGGGAATCTTAACTATTCTTCCTCCTTTCCTTTATTTCCACATTGCAAACCATTTTCCATACCACTGACAAAATAATAATCCTAATAGGAAAATATGCTCATATCACCTTCATGCTTAAAATTCTTCCATTAAATTAATAACCTTTCAATCAAATAAAGGATGGTGTATAATGCCTTTAATGTCCATTCATACTCTTCTCTATTCTCACCAGCAGCTACTGTCCAATTTCCTCTCAACCACGTGCATTTGCTGTTCATTCCACCTGTATTGTGCTTTTCTATTTCTCTTCTAAAACCTAATGCAATGTATCATCTTTTCAAAGAAGTCTTCCCCTATAATCCCCACAGCTTTCCCCTTAGGAGAACTGTTTGTCCCTCACTAAGCAGCAAGTGACTGTATATTTCATCAGTATCTTTCATTCAATGAATATGAATGAACAAGTTGGACTAAATTACCTTCCAATTCTAAACTTTTTTTCTCTCTGAAATTTTCTTCTCCAAATAGTCTCATATTTGAGTAGTTTTGGGGAAGAGCTATGATTGTTGGTATAATTGCACAGTGTTGAAAAATAATCCTAAGTAATTGAACTATTGAGTTTTCCCCTAACTGATCTTTAGAGGCAGTGTAAATTCATAAAGCAAACCTTTATTAAGCTTCTCCATCAATTTCAAACAACTTAGCTTTGTCTGCCAGAATTTAACCAATTTAAACAAGGTAACCTGAGTGAAAGGCTATATAGTCAGGTGGCCCAGGGGATCCTCCAGGATTCATCAGTAAAATCATTCAAAACTCTGATGTAAACAAATACTATTTTTTGGCTTCTAGGAAATTCTAATATGTATTATTTTCTTGACTCCCTAATATCTGGAAGATTTGGCCATTTTTATTTTACTGCTTACCTCTTGGCATATGTGTCTTTAAAACCAAAGAGATTAATCTGATTGCCAGGGATATTTATATTTGAGTTTTAGAGAGTAAAAACAACAGCTTTATGTGAGAAAATATGTGTAAATGTGAATATAATTTGTAAAATGCTATACAAACGTTAGCTAGTGATGATTAAAATTTTAACTCTCATTTTTGGAACTTTGTTCTCACATTTGAGTATTGCCTATAAGTTTTATAAATGAGGGAATAATTAAGGAAGTGAGTATTAGAGAGAAATCGTCAAGCTCCAGAGAGCTAATAATAGAGAAAAGGGAGAATTCTGCCACATTTCTCTTAAATTCATTCCTTTTGGAGATATCCATCTCCCTTACTTGGAGCACTCCACTACCTAGGGCTTTTCACTATCATTTGCATCTTCCATTTCTATTGTATCAGTAAATCTTTAGCTCTCTCTACCTCCTGGCTGATCTGAAGCCAAAAAACTACTGAAAGAAGAATAAATATTGCTCCTCAACAAAACATCTTCATCTGCAATGGGTCCTTCTGAACTACTATTTAATCCACTAGTGTGCTATTTAATCCACTAAATGTGTTTAAAACTTGGAGTTTTAGATTTGATAGGATAATAAGGTGTTTTCAAGTCTTTGCCATACAGAGAAGCACATAGAAAATGCTATTTGTACATCACTGTGAGGTAGGCAGATGACAAAAGTTATGCATGCAGGCAAATAGTCCAGGTTTTTTTTTTTTATCTAACCCTGGCCCCAACTGACTATATAGAATGTGTAAAAGATCAATATCTCATTATAGCAGTTGAGAAACATTGGGTTAGTAGCTAGACAGGGCCTTATGGAGTTCTTCAATCAACATTGTGCAGACAGCCTTGTTAATATAATGGCGATGCTTATCATCTCCTCTTCTCTCCATCAATTAAATCCATGGATTTCAGAAATTTAATTATAACAGTTCATTTTTATAATAGTAAAGTTTCATAGGATTTATGGAAAAATGATAAAAGAAGTATAAAACTTTTTTCTGGCTTATAAAAACTTATGTTTATCTCACTTCTATATGTTTTCTCAGGTTCATTAAATAATTAGATTCTACCTGTCAAAATCCATAGTGGCTCCTTCTTTTGTGTATTTGAATTTGAACTGGTATATCTCAGTCACTTTCTAGAAAAACCAAAGGTAATAAAGAAATTAATTTTAAAAAGAAATCCAGAATTTTACCTGATAATAAGGCACATTTTCATTGTATACCTACCATGCTTCCTATATACCTGTTTATTTCACAGTATTATACTATTTAGGAGTAATATTTCCAGATATAAAGATACTTTTTCTCCAAAAGTGAGTAAGATGATAAATGCTTCCATTATAATTGAAGTTGGAAAAACTAAGGCACAGTCAAGTATCTGACCCACTAGGGTATGATGGGGGAATCAGTTGAGAAACTATTCATTCACATAATACCTATTTTAGTGAATGTCTGTTTTGTATCAAGCATTGGAGTCACAATAATGAACAAAACTTTTGCTCCCTGTTTTTCTTGAATTTACAGTCTGATCAGGAGATAATCAATAAATTATTTCACCTAGTACGATTGCTGTGAACAATATGAAGCAGATACTGTGATGGAAGATGAAAGGGGAAAAGTACTGATTTGGCTTGAAAGGGCCAAGGAAAGCATCCCCGAAGATGTGATATTTGAGTTGAACCTCAAGAGAGGTGAGCCATGTGCAGTCCTTGGGTGTGATGATCCAGGCAGAGCAAACAGCAATACAAAGCCTCCAGAAGGGATGTCCCCCTCTTCCAAGATCTGAGAGGAGGCTAAAGATGAGAGAGCAAGGGGGAGAATGTAGGAGATGAAGTTGTAGAGAGGGTTGTTATGTTTTATTGGCCATGGTAAGGGGGGGTTGGATTTTATTCCATATAAACCAGAAGGGTTTTAAGTTGGGGAGTGATTTGCATTTTTAAAGCTCACCCTGCCAATCTTAAG